AGGATGGTTACAACCAGGTTCCTTGTTACTTCTTTCTGAATATACTGTGGATCTCTTCCTTTCAATGATTTCTTCCACATGACCTAAATTATCCATTCCTATATCCCTTTATGCAGTTTAATTTTGATTTTTTTTCTCCTTTTTCTCCTCTCTGCACTCCCACCTTAAAATTTAATTTAAAGCCCTTTGAATCAGGTCAGTGCAGGTTCTGGCCAAATACATTTTTCTGGCCTTTGCTAAGCGCTTTCTGGCAACGCCAGGATCCCATTAGTCTGCTTGCTTAGGATGTGGTCCAGGAAGATGGGTCCTGGTTTTGGATGCCTTTTATGTTGCCAGGCATTTCTTGCCATGTCCTCCCTTCACTTCCATACTCATGCCTGCCGCGGGAAGAAGGACTACCTGGCCCCTGGCCCAGGAACTTCTCGCAACTCCTCTCCTCCTCGGCCCAGCCCCAGATCTTTACATCCTTCCTCCGTCTGAGGTGATGGGTGGGCATGGCTGGTGATGGAAAAGCTGGGGGGCCCTGGCAGCTCCTGACTTGCAGGTTTGGTTTATTGCAGTCACTTCTGACCCTGCACCAAAGGCAGGGCTTCAGGGTCCTTACAGGCATGTGCTCGGGAGTGGGTACCCTGCCCCTTCCTGCCAAACACCATGGCCTGGGCCTTCACTCTTTTCTCCCCAGCCTTGCTTTCTGAGGGCAACATGAGAGGCCTCCCCACAGAGGGGTTGTGCAGATTTAGTAGACTGTTCATGTGAGGTGTGCTCAGTTGCAGTCCTCAGATGCTGACACGCTACGTCCCCCAGTGGCTCTCTGGCGTGGGGAACAGCTTCCCATTGGCGCCATGTTTTTATTCATCATCGTCTGTTGAGCGCATGTCTGGCATTCGCTTCTTCCTCCTTGGTCTCTGTCTGCAGGGTTTGTTTCCTGGACTGTGTGCTCCACACGACTGAGGAGCTTCATCCATAGCACCAGGCATGTGTCAGCTGTCCCAGCGGGAAGTATTTGCCTGTGTCTACCTACAGCTGCCATCACTACCCTCAGCGTGACATCCCAGCTCCTCACCCCACCTTGCAAGGCCCCTGCCAGAGCTCCAACACCAGGTCGCTTTCCTTCCTCCAGACTGGCCCATGCCGGTCTCTGCACATGCTCTTCCCTCTGCCCAGAACATTCTCGTGTCCACTTTTCCCCCTTTGAACTCATTTTCCTCCTTGGAGACCCTGCCTAAATGTCCTTTTGGCCCAGCAACTTATGTTTCTTCCCAGGCCTTGCCAAAGTCCCTTGCCATACCACCCCCAGCCCCCCAGGGCACCATGCTTTTGCTTTTAGCGCACCGTCACGTGTATAGATACGTTTAACTGTGTCTGGGTGAGCCAAGGGGCTGGGATTTCCATGTTCATTGGTGGTAGGGTTCCCCCACCTCTGCCATGCAGAGGCCATGGCCAGGCACATAGGTTCTCTTCGCTCCTCTGTAATCCCTATGATGACAAGCACTGGGTCTGTCGCTTGTGTCACTCATGTATCACTGTGTCTTTCGCCACCAACACCATTGTTAGGCTAGAGAAAGCTCATTTAATACAAGGACGGGCAATAGTGGGAAGTTGTGAGCAGTTTCCACCCCTAGGTGTTGAGAAATGCCTTAGCTCTCTTTAGGGCTCCTCCTGGACACTCATAGGATACGGTTCCTCCTGCTTCCTGGGCACTCCGTGAGGGTAGATGATACCTTTTCCCTGTCTGCCCAGAGTGGGGCAGCCTGGCAGAGCATAGTGACTCAAGGAATGGGTGTGTATGTGTGGATGGGGTGCTGGTGAGAGAGGTCTTGATGAAGGAGAATGGGAAAGGGGAGCAGAAATGCTCTGGAACTCGGGGTGCAGTCTGCAGGAGCTTTCTGGGTGTCAGCGAAGCCTTTGTGAGCAGATGTCAGTCCAGTACTGTGCTGGGGGCTCGTGGACACGAGAGGAAGGTCAGGTCTCAGCCCTCGGGGACCTTTTGCCCTTGTCATTCCTGTGTTTGGTTAATGCAGCTGCAGAAGGGCCCTGCCATGGATCCGGGCTGCTCCTTCCAGGGGACCCCTGTCACTTGTTATCCAGTGCCTTCTCTTGGGTGCCCGGCTACGTACCACTGTGATCCCCGTTGATGGGTTTTTACGTCCCGTTTCCCTAGCCAAGGAGCGAGCCCTCTGAAAGCCGGGATGTGTGTTCTGCCAGTGACAAGTGTGCCGCCTGGCATGTGTGGGACAGGTATTTGTCAGGAAGGAGCAGCGATATGTGTTTGCTTTCACACCGTCGCTCTCTAGCTTCACTGGTTTTGCTTGACTCAAATGTGTGTGAATATTATTTGTCCATCGCTAGGACAACCTCACGTGCCACGGATTTGCAGTCAGGCCTCGTGATGCTGAGTCTGCATTCTGGTCAGGAGGCGCTTTTGGAGATGGCTACCTCCCCAGAAGTAATGACACAGAGAAACCACCTGGTGGTCGGATCACACACAGAAATGACTCCACGAAGTGAGGCCCCAGTATGGGGGGGGGTGAAATTGCTTAGTGTTTTAGCCACAAGAATGCGTGGCTCTCTAGCATGTGCATGTCCATTACCACACCTGTCCAGACTGCCCCTGCTCATCAGGGGCCAGAGTTGCTGCTTCCATGGAAGGAAACATGATGGTGGCGTGCGCGTGGGCTGAAGTCACACCGCCACCAAATCATGGGTCTTTCCTACTTCGTGTGCCTAGTCTCCTGGGGATGGAGAGTAGACACAGGCTTATGGCAACCCACTGCACCCATCTCCCTGTCAGTGATAAAGCCCCATGGAGGCACCCCAGCCAGTGTTCGCCAGATGCTCACCAATTAAAACTCAGATGCCTGCCACATGCTAGACTGTTGGAAACACGTTTTCGTTTTGATGTGGCTATTCTGCAGTGAATGTGCACAAGGACATATGCCTTCTGTCAACCAACGGATGACAGTGGTATTGGTAACGCGGTGCTTCCGCCCTGCTCGTAAATGAAGGAGTGTTTGTAGCTCCTTGCTAAATATTTTATTATCAGATGAAGAAATCGCCATAAAAATTCCTCTGATACCAAGGGGAATTTTTCTCAAGGATGTATTCACTCTTTACCTGTGCTCGGCTCAGTCTTTGCTTTTGAGGAACAGTGTCGGACAGTACCACGCTTAGATATGTGGGCTCACGGTTGTATGTCCTTCGGTTTCCTCCTGCTACTGCCCAGCAGCACATCTCGGCCTAGAAACTTTGTCCTCATATCACCAGTGCTTGGGGACACCCAGCCGGGGCAGCCAGTAGACAGCAGAGGGCCTTTGCTGCCACGGCCTGCCTTCCTCCTGGCTCCCAGGGAAGCAGGTTCCTTTACTAGACTGGAAGATATGCAACCTGTCATGAAGCCACAGGCAGGTGGAAGGGAGAGGCTCTCTGACCTCTACACTCAGTTCCTACCTGAAGGGCACTGGAGAGACTCTCCTGGAGGAGTCACTCTTCCTTTGGTGGTTGGAAGTTACCCAAGAACATAAGGAGAAGCTGACGTTGCGCCTTCCCCAATTCCCTCTTTCTCAGAGGAAGGCAGCCTGAGAGAAGATGAGGGGTGGGCGAACTGGACCCCGGGAGTCCTGGCAGAATGACTTCTGGCTGGGAAGCTGAGGGCAGCTGGGCTCCCTGCCCAGTGAGGCCTGAGCTCTCCTCTCCCGTAGGAATGGCACTGCCTGGCCTGCTGGAGGGCCTCTACTGCTAATTCCATTGCCAGCCATCCCCACTCACCTGAGCCAGCAGGTTGCCTCCACAGAGGGAGCACCCTGATCTGCTTGTCCTCCTGGGGTCTGGGCAGGTCTCCTATAGTTCCTGCCCCATGCAGATCCTGCTGAATTTCTGTATTTGTGTAGCATATGCCTAGGGCTTGAGCACACGCTCTTGGGGCACACTGCCATGAGTCCAGCAATGTGGTTTTGTCCAGGCCTGAGGATCACTCTCTCAGGAGTGACCTGTCTCCCTCTGGCCTTCACATGTGGCAGTTCGCTCAGAATTTTCTGTATTCTCAATCATTTTGCTACCCATATACAGTGCACAGCTGAGAATTTTGCTCAGTAAAACCATGCAAAGCCATACTATGCCATTCTCCTGTTCTGTAGAGGAGTCACACATGGGAGCATGAACATTTGACCTTGCTATGAGCATCAAATTTCCAGTCTTGATAGGTTTGCAAATAGTCCGCTGTCTGCAATTCTCCTGAACAACTTTCAAAATCATGGGCTAATCAAATTATGAGCAAACCTAATTCAAGCAAAGGGCGACAGTCCTCATTGGTTTGGCTACCGATAAAACATAGGGCAGCTCCTGGCGCGTAACAAATTACCACAGTGATTCAAAATAGACCCATTCATTATCTCACAGTTTCCGTAGGTCAGAAGTCCAGCAGGGTATAACTGGGTGCTCAGCCCTGGGTATGATGACGCTTCGCTCAAGGCTGTGGCTGGCCTGTCTCTCACTGGGAGGCCCTGGGAAGAATCCACCTCCAGGTTCATTTAGGTTGTTGGCAGAAGTCAGTTTCTTGGGCTCACAAGCCCAAAGTCCCTGTTCTTTATTTTATGTTGGCCAGGAATTACTCTCAGCTCCTAGGGGCCACTCACATTCCATGTCCGTCACATCACTCCTCCATCTTTAAAGCCACATGCTTCTAATCTCTCTGACTTTGTTTTTTTTTGTGGCCAACCAGAAAGCACTGTGCTTATAAAAGTCTCACCAGATTGTATCGGGCCCCTCTAGATAATCTCCACATCTTAGAGTCAAGTGGCTCTAAGTGCCCGATCCCTTCCCAGCAGCGTCTAGAGGAGCGTTTGGCTGAATGGCCAGGGGATGGGAATCCTGGGGGCCATCTTTAGAAATCTGTCCACAACAAGCAGCAGAGAGAAATCCACCTCATGTCTACTTTCACACCTCACTTGACATTGCCGAGAAATTCCTGTTGTGATTATAATCTCCATTGTTGTCTCCACCAGCGAGTGCTGGGGATCCTGAGCCTGGACCGGAGGCGGAGGCGGGGCAGGGTACGGATGAGGCTAGCCCGGAAGTAGCGCCAGCCCGCGTGGGAGCGGAGAAGGAAGTGGAGCAAGCGCTGGAACAAGAGCTGGAAGAGCGGGCCTCTCTCAGTGAGAAAGAGAGGCAGAGTGAGGAGGTGAACGAGAAGGACAACTGCTCTGCCTCCAGCATCTCATCCTCCAGCAGCACGTTAGAGAGGGAGGAGAAGGAGGACAAGCTCTCCAGGGACAGGGGAACTGGTAATACAGCCCCTTTTCTCAGTAAATACGTTCCAGGGACCACTGGGTGGGGGACTTGGTTTGCTGGCCACTGAGATGACCCTGCTGGCTCAGCTCACTCACTGGGCTGTGTCCCCTGGTGTCGGGAGGTGAAGGGCATGGCCACACTGTGGACAGCCCTCAGCTTCCTGCCCCATGGGACGGTGGCCCCCATGCCCTGTGCCATGCCGTTATACCATCACTTTGACAGGTGGGGAAAGGGCCCAATAATGAGGACAGCAAAGGACTTTTCCTGAGGAATGAGTCCCAAAAGAGAACTTCCTCATTTCCTTCTAATTGCTTGTTAATAGTAAATGTAGCTTTTTTTCCGAGTTAAATTGAGACATACGTCATGTTGCTATCTGCCCCCTCGGAAGTTTCTTTAGTGAAGTGTGCTAAGCCATTATGATGGACACTGCAGACCACAGCAATTTGTTTGTTAAAATGAACTGAATGAGTACTTCTAGAAAGTGGCAGTTCAAAGTGTGCTGAAGTCAGTTTGATGTACTCTAGTGGAATATACATGATTTAAGTAACTTTCTACAGTCTGCTCAGGGCTGCTCTTTTGTTAGAAAGTATCTGCTTTTCTTTATGAAATTAGATCCTTTTGGCATTATAGCTGATATTCATTCAGTTCATCTGTGTCATGGCAACTATATGATGAGAGACCAAATGGAATGTTAATCCTCACTGGGGACTCGGGGAGGGTGCCACAGAGGATTATAGGAATTGTAAAGGATTCATATAATCATTTGAATTATGGTTCACATGCAACACCATAGGGTTGGTTTTCCTGCCCACGACTTGCATGCTGTTGAGATGACAGCCACCTCTCTCAACTAACACCCTCCACCAGGGGAGGCATGTCTTACTAGCCAGACTTCATTAACTTACAGGCTGATACACACACAAGGAGCCTATGTCTTGGGCCCAAAGTGCATCATGAAGGCTCCACAAGGGCTTGCCAGCTGGTGACATGACCCATGCATGGCTCATTAGCTCACAGATTAAGAATACATGGTCTCTGAAGCATGTATGTGTGAATGAAAATTGAATGAATGAATGGAGCTATAATGCCTGCCATGAGACCTATCAATCAGTGTTTTAGTCCTAATTGATATTTGAGTTTTTACCAGCCATATTAATAAGTTTTATTCTTTATATTGCTGGTCATTATGATGCACTGAAGAAGAACTGAAAGACTTTATTAGTTTGCATCTTAGTAATTATTGCATTGAAAATCTCATGTCTGTTTGGTTGAAGATGTATGTGCTAGAAGGTAGTACATATATTGATATTTACTTAATTTTCTTTCAAAGTCAGATGGCAGTTAGTCTCCCAAATTGTACTTGTTAGTATTCACATTTAATGTGATTAGGGTCACAGTGCAGGGGGTCAGGTCGTGTAAATCTTCTTGATCAGTTTGGTCTTAAATCATGTTTTATTATAAATAGCTGTAGGAATTATTCGTCATCGCTAGGTTTAGGAAGCCTAAACCATATCAACAAGTTGGGTTAGTGAAAAGAAGCCAAGGAACAGAACTTTCTTGGATCAGGATTGTCCAATATTTTTCCAAATAAGGGCAACTTTCCAAAAATGGAGACTCTACTCCCAGTGAAGAACCATTGACTTTCTACCAAAAGCTGGTGGTGTCCAAGAGTATTGACTCAGGAATTAGGGCTTTGCAGTGATTTTTTTTTTACTGCTTCAGTCTGGGGCTATTAAAAGATGCGATGATCATGTTTATTTGTTGTAGCTTCTTAGCTCCTAGAAAATCCCACTGCTCCCAGGCACCATCAGCAGCTGTAAAGTCAGGCAGCTCTTACCTTTCAGAGTGTTCTCAAATCACAAAAGCAATCATAATGATCCTAATGATTGTATCCATTACTCAGAAATGAATCTGTAGGGTTTGAAAGAGTCTCAACTTATTCTGGTTGTGTGGCTTTTTCTTTTTGTTTCGTATGTTCTGCTCCATGGTGTTAGTGTGAGAGGTTTTATTGTAGCATTTGTTACACTTTGCTGTAATGCCTTATATAACTGTCCTTTACCTCCACTTGAATGTAAGCTTTGTGAGGATGGGGATGTCTGTCTTGTTCATTGTGAGTCCTCACTTCCTAGCTATAGGACTGAACATAGTAAAGGCTCAAAAAACCCACTGATGAATAATTGAATGAAGAGGCATCTGGCTAAGATGGAGCAGCTCTATTGTTCCCAGTTCCTTCCTTTTACAACTAAACTAGGAACACCCTGGGCATAACACAACAATCAACCATAGGAGGACTCTGAAAATTGGAAAGAAGGCAGACTGTCTAAGGACCTTTGGACTTTAATGACATGGCAGTGAAGCTCTAAGTAAATCCTATTCCCATAGCCAAAGAATTGGGAAAAGGATTGCCTAACAGAACAGATAATCTTTTTGGCTATAAATACATTGCCCTACCCTAGAAAATTACTAATGGAAAATCTGCTACTATCCTAATGCTCCCCCACCTGGTAGTTTCAGTGGGACCAAAGACGAAGTGATCTTCTATAACCTCCACTCCATGGAAACAGGGGTGACACAGTTCCCATTCTCCCCTCCCTCCAACTCTGTGGTGTCAGTGGGACTCAGGAGGGAGCTAGTCCTCTATCCCCTGCCCAATAGAAGCCGATAGTGCTCTCTTATTTCCTTGCTGGGGTAGTTCTGGCCTAATGGAGAACTGATATTCTATCCCCTATGGGGCAGAAGCAAGTGGCATCCCAGTTCCCCTATTGGGGTAGTGTCAGTGGGGTCCTATAGAGATCTGAGCTTACACCTTCACCCAGTAGGAGAGAGACTTGAGGCAGTGGAAGAGGACTAACCACCATTCTATTGCCCCTGCCCTCCTTCTCTGACACCAGCTGGGCCCAGCAAGGAGCTCAGTCTCTATCCCCACCTGGCATAAAAAAGGTAGAATGATGTGGTTGGAGGTAGAACTAGGCTTCAATCTATTCTCCCCAACCCAGAATCAGTAGAGACCAATGGGAAGGTGAACCTTCACCTCCACTTGCAGGCAATGTGAGTAAGTGTTCCACTTTCACTGGGAGGATGCCAGTGGGGTCAAGGGGCTGCTGCACCCCCACCCTGCCCATCTGCAGTGAGGGTGAGTCAGCCCTCTTGCTGGGGTGGTGACAGTAGGACCCAGTAGGGAGCTGAACATCTACCCCCACCAAGACCTGTACACCACAACTAAACAGGGTGAGCGCCTGCTGAAAGAGAAAACGTGATCCAAAGTCTAGCAAGTAATCCCCAAAATATCCAGGACACACTCTAAAATCACTTATCATATCAAGAACTAGGGCAATCACAACCTGAATGGGAAAAGACAAGCAACAGATGTCAACACCGAGATCAGCTGGATGTTAGAATTATCTGACAAGATAATTTTAAAGCACCCATCATGATAAGGCTTCAGTAAACAGTTCAAACATTCAGGAAACACATGAAAGAAATGAAATATCTTAGCAGAGATCGAAGATATTAAAAAGAACCAAAGAGAAATTATAGAACTGAAAAATACAATGACCAAAATAAAATACTTGTTGGGCTCCGTAGTAGATTGGAGACAATAAAGGAAATAATCTGTGCAGTTGAAAACAGATCAGTAGAAATTACCAAATCTGAATAACAGAGGGGAAAATAGACTAAAGAATGAACAGAACCTCAGGGACCTGTAAGACTGTATCAACAGAACTAACATTCATTTCATCAGAGTCTGAGAGGGAGAGGAGAAAGCCTGCAGGGCTGGAAAAATACTTGAAGAAATAATGACTGAAAATTTCCCAAATTTGGCAAAAAGCATACACCTCCAGATTTAAGAAGCTAAGCAAATACTAATGGGGATAAATCCAGAGAAATTCACACCAAAACAAATGATAAGCAAACTTCTGAAAATTAAAGATCAAAAATAAAAAATCTTGAAAGGGAGTAGGAAGAAAAATGTGTTACCTATAGAAGAACACCAATTCAAATGTTTCATCTGAAACATGGAGGTGAACAGGAAGGGGCGCAGCATTTGTCAAGTGCTGAAAGACTAGAATTATCAACCCTGAATTCTGGATCCAGTGAAAGTAGCCTTTAAGAATGAAGAGAAAATGAGGACATTCTCAGTCAAAGAAAAACTAGGAGAATTTGTCACTAGCAGGCCATTCTTTTTTTTTTTTTTTTTTAATTTTTTTTTTTTTTTTATTCATGAGAGACAGAGGGAGAGAGAAAGGCAGAGGGAGAAGCAGGCTCCCAAGGAGCAGGGAGCCCAATGAGGGATTCGATCCCAGGACCCTGAGATCATGACCCGAGCCGAAGGCAGACACTTAACCATCTGAGCCACCCAGGCACCCACTAGCAGGCCATTCTTAAAGAATGGCCAAAGGATGTTCTCTGAACAGAAAGAGAATGATGACAGAAGAAGGCTCGGAATTTGGGGAAAAAAAAACAACAATGGAATAGGTAAAAATAGTAAATAAAAAAGACTATCTTTTGCCTCATAAGTTTCTTAAATCATATGTGATGGTGGAAGCAAGAATTAGAATGTGATGTGTGTGCTCAAGTATGTAGAGGAAATACTTAAGACAATACTGTTTTTAAAGTAGGGAGGGTAAAATGATCTAAATGGAATTAAGGGTTCTATGCTTCAAAGTAGTAGAACATCAATACCAGCACACAGAGAAGTTAGTGTTTATATCGTAATTCCTAGAGCAACTGCTAAGAAAATTATATGAAGCAGTGTACTCAAAAACAGTAAAAATCAAATTGAAATTCTAAAAATATTCAGGTAACCCACCTGTGACCCAAAAAGGAGAAACAGGAACTAAAACAAAGGGAACAAACAAAAAATAAAGAGGCAGACTGAAGCCCTAACGTAATACTTTATTTTTTTCTTTTAAAGTAGTTTCTATACCTAACATGGGACTCGGATCCACAACCTCAAGATTGAGAGTCACATACTCTACCAACTGAGCCAGCCAGGTGCCCCAATAATCACTTTAAATTAAAAGACGGAGATTTGCAGAGTGGATAAAAATATAACCCAACTATATGCCATGTATACAAGAATCCTTTTAAACATAAGGGTATAGGTAGATGGAAAGTTAAAAGTTGGGAAAAGATATACCATGCTACCATTAATCAAAGGAGAGCAGGAGAGGCTATATTAATATCGGATAAAGTAGACTTCAGAGCAAAGGAAATTACTAGAGATAAAGAAGCAACACTACGTAATGATCCAAGAAGGCCTAAGTAAATAAAAAGAGTAAGGGAGAAAACCAGCACTTTTTTTTTTTTTTTAAGATTTTATTTATTTATTTGACACACAGAGAGAGACAGCGAAAGAGGGAACACAAGCAGGGGAAGTGGGAGAGGGAGAAGCAGGCTTCCCTCTGAGCAGGGAGCCCGATGTGGGGCTCGATCCCAGGACCCTGGGATCATGACCTGAGCCGAAGACAGAGCCACTTAATGACTGAGCCACCCAGGTGCCCCAAAAACCAGCATTTAAAATATTACCTGATTGTGTCCTTTTCTTTTTCCTTCTCCACTTTATGTGTTGCAGTCTCCTGACCTCAAAGCAGTCTTCCTGTTTACAGGACTGTCCGGCCAGTTGTAGGGACTCCAGATACCCAAATTTTCCCATCATGTCCTCAAATGCTGTCTCCTCCCTCTTTGATGGTGGTTGTCTCCTAAGTGTATTCTTTGAAACCTGCAAGAGGGTTCAAGAGCTCCTTGTTCGGGTATTGGTCCTTTGGTGAGGTTAGGTCACTGCTGAGCAGAGGACAAAGCTACAGAGGAAACAGAGCACCAGGGGACCTTTGTGCTCCCCAATAATGCCTCCTCTAAGATCAAGGCAGGGCCATGGGAGAGACCAGTGTCCCTCCCAGCATGTTTGATTGGGCCATTCTCCTTTGGTGGAACAAAAGCTACATCGATGCGCATGTCCGTGGCCTAGGTCCCTGCCATCCCCCAACACAAGTATCCACAGAGGCCTTGGGTATGTGATGGAACTCACATCCTGAATGCCTGCCAAACAGCCCTGCTGGCCCTTAGGAAGCAAACTCAGAGGAATAACATTCCTGACCATTCACTGATTCATTGATTCATCCTAGATGCTGGGAGTACAACAGTGAACAACAGCAACAACGAAACCCCAATTCCTGCTCTTACAGAGTTTACATTCCAATGAAGAGGACGTTTTAACAATTGTAATTGTTCCAGTGGTAGGACAAAGGCAGCAATAAAATAAATAAGGAAAATGAGGCAGTAATAAGTGCTCTGGTGACGAATGCCAGAAAGGGCGATAAATGGCTCTGGGGAGAGGGAGGGTGTGCTGCACAATTTTAAGTAAGGTGGTTGGGGAGGACTTCACTGGGAAGATACTGTTTGAGCAAAGACCTAAAAGGAGGTTGAGAAGCAGATTGTGTGGTTAAATGGGTGCCGTTTGTCCTGGGATGGGCAAAGGCCCTGAGGCCAGACCATGCCTGGTGAGGTCTAGGAAGGTCAAGCAGCTACTGTAGCTAAAGAGGTCCAGTTCACCAAGAAAATTAAGGTGGGTTCATGCAAGGCTTGGGAACATTGAAAAGTCACTGGTTTTTTACTTGGTGAAATGTGGCAGCATTAGAAGTCTTTGAGCAGAAAGATCTGATCAGACATTTTAACACATGGCATTGCGTTAAGAACTGATTCTCAAGGGACGTGCATGGAAGTTGGGACCAGCTAAGGGACATCCCTGCAGTGTTGCAGGCAAGAAACCATGCTGGCTCAGACCAGGACCATGGCAGGGCAGGTGATGAGAAAAGTGGGTGGATTCTGGATGTGACTTGAAGATTTAGCTAACTGGACACCCTGCTGTGTTAGATGTGCCCATGAAAGAACAGGAGGAGTCCATTGACTGAGATGTTTGGAATTGACAGCAGGATGGATGAAAGTTGCCATGTCTGAGATAGGAAAGGGCTGCAGGAGAAGCAGGTTTGGAGAGGGGGTGGGGATGAGGGCAGAGGTGGTAGCTAAAGCCAGAAGACTGGATGAGATGGGAAGTGTACAAGGACACAAGAGGTCCAAGGACATTTAAAGGGCAAAGATAAGGAGGAACTGGCATAGGAGATTGAGAGAGAGCAGCCAGAGAAAAGGCAGCAAACCAGGTGAGTACAGTGTCCTAGAAGTCACCCGAAGGATATAAGTAAAGGAGGGAGTGAGCTGCTGGGTCTAGTGTAGCACCAAAGTCTTCAGCCACCTGGGAAGGAGCAGCTTTGAAAGGTGGTGAGAGCAAAAACTTCATTAGACTGGGTTCAAGAGAGAGAATAAGAAAAACTGGAGCAGTGAGACAAACAACTCTGATAAGCAGCTTTACTTTAAAGGAAAGGAGAAAAGTTGGATTATAGCTGAGGGCTAAGTGGAGTTGAGTTTTGTTTTTTTTTTTAAGATGGGTGAAATTATACCATGTTTATATGCCAGCAGGAAGGTCTAGTGGGAGGAGCATGGGAAATGCAGGACAGAGAACCGCAGGAATGGCTTCCAGATGCACATGTGGAGTGGTTGACTCTGCTGAAGGGGATGGTTTATCGGTAATCACAGGAGGAAGGCCATGGTTGGGGTTCAGGTGCGGGTGGCGGGGGCGGGGGGAGGTTGGATGAGACCCTGGAAGATCTCCTCTGACTTATTCTGTTAAGCTGTTGAACTAGGAAGCAAGGCTATGCTGGTGTGCAGATGAGATGGTGGGGAAGTTAGAGGAGAGAGGGGAGGTGGGAAAAGTCCCCCAGGAGAGGTCATGGATGAGGCTGCCAGGCAGCATTAAGGGTTTCCTGAAGACTGGTGCCCATGGACTTAAGGTATGACCAGTGACTTGGTTTGTGTGTTTCCCCAGGTATTTGAGCTGCACTGATGCAGATGCAGAGTGTGGGGGGGGAAACAGACATAACTCCGCAGCCTTTCCGACACCTGTCCTATGGTGGGCGAGGGAGCATCTTCCTTGCCTCCCTGTGTCTAGTTAGGACAGAAGCCCCTTAGTTATCTGTGGCTCAGTGGGTCCTGACCCACTGTCATGGGTGGGCAGGAAGAGTGAGGAAAACAGTCCCATGAACCAGGGTGGGAGCCAAGAGTGGTATCCTACCTACAAGAGTCTTGGGCCCTGGAAAGTCATTGAGACTTTGATGCAACGTCTCTTCCTGGTCAAGAGCATCCTGTCAGCTGTGACCACCTGCCTCTTAAATTGCTTTATTTCAGTGTCTTCTCTGAAGTCACTCTGTGTGTAAGGCCTCCGTTATTACCTAACTGCTTTCTCATGAGATTGAGGCACCTGCCACTTGCTCACTTTGTTTTTTTCCTCTCCTGTACGCTTTCAGGTCTGTGGTCGGCGGGTGTTCAGGATGCCGGTGTAAATGAACAGTGTGGCGACATCCTCACCAACAAACGGTTCATGCTGGACATGCTGTATGCCCATAACAGAAAGCCCACGGATGACGAGGAGAAGGGGGAGGGCGAGAATGGGAGGACTGAGCCGGGTGCGGAGGCGGTGGCCAGCCTGGCTAGCAGGATATCCACCCTGCAGGCCAACTCTGTGGCCCAGGATGACAGCGTCAGGAGGGTGGACGTTGGCTGTCTGGACAATCGGGGCAGCGTGAAAGCCTTTGCTGAGAAATTCAACAGCGGGGACCTAGGGAGAGGGTCCATCTCCCCTGACGCCGAGCCTAATGACAAGGTCCCAGAGAAAGCATCCGCACAGCCGAAGACGGAATCTGACTATATCTGGGACCAGCTCATGGCCAACCCGAGGGAGCTCAGAATCCAAGACATGGATTTCACCGACCTGGGGGAGGAAGATGATGTGGACGTCCTGGACGTGGACCTGGGTCCCAGGGAGGCCCCGGGGCCACCGCCCCCACCCCCGCCCACCTTTCTGGGTTTGCCGCCCCCGCCCCCACCGCCCCTGCTGGACAGCGTACCTCCCCCTCCAGTCCCCGGTAATTTATTGGCTCCTCCTCCAGTAGTCAACGCTCCTCAGGGCTTAGGGTGGCCCCAGGTCCCCCGGGGTCAGCCGGCATTCACCAAGAAAAAGAAGACCATCCGTCTCTTCTGGAATGAAGTGCGGCCGTTCGAGTGGCCATGTAAGAACAACCGGCGCTGCAGAGAATTCCTGTGGTCAAAACTGGAACCCATCAAGGTGGACACTTCCAGGCTGGAGCACCTGTTTGAGTCTAAATCTAAGGAACTGTCCGTCTCTAAGGTACGGCTAGCATCCCGAATGCTTCTTGATTTAAAGAGTTCCTTTCTGCTGTTGAGTAGGGCTGAGAGATCTGTTGTATTTAAAAATCCCTTCGTGCTGCTTTGGCTATGTGGTGGGGGAGAAAAAGGCGGACGGTATAAAAATCTGACCTTTTAGAGATTAGTCTGTGCCCTACGCTAGAGGTAAGCTGCATGAGTACAGGACCCTTGATTGGCTAACATGGACGGCAGCCTACAAACACAGTTAGGGAAAGTAGCTTTCAAAGAACCAAATAACCGAAAAGACAGAATGATTCACCAGGGAACATTAGCATAGCCCAATCATAGACGCTGACATTAACTGGAGGAAAGTCATCTTGCAAATTTATCAAACACATGGACTTTATCCATGGGTCTATTTACTCTTACCTTGATTGATTATAGTTGATGGTAGTAGTAATTGGGACCTCAGCTGTAAGCACACGGTAATTTAGAGTCTGCAAGGCTTACCTGCAAGAACTTACCATAAATTAGTTTTAGCTCCATGTGTTCCATTTATCAGCATTTTGGGTGAGTATAAAGCTACCTGAGTTGGGATCCCCGACCTGCCAGTCAAGTACCAATTCTGATTCACAAAGTATGTGCAGCATCCTCAGGACAAGAGTGTCCTTCAGACAAGGGGCCAGGTGACAGGGTCAGTGCCTGGAGGGGGTGCAGGAGTAGGGCTGCTCTTCCTGAGTTGACCTTTACCCTGGTGTCAGTTTCTACCCAGTCTCAGCAAGGATGTGAATCTAAACTATTCCAGCCTCAGGAATCCGCCCGCGTCAGAATTAAAGCTTCCTCCTGCTTATAAATCCAAACAGCTAGGATCCAACAAAGCAAATCATGTCCTGTCAGTGCTGTCCTTCAGCTGAAAGTAGATCCCCCTTTTGTCCTCTCTAGGAAATGACATTGAGGAAAGTGAGGTTGGGCACCCGCTCTGTGTGTCCGTCTCCTGACTTTGCCAGGACTGGTGACATGTGGTGCTGAGCCACCCACACGCCCCCTTCGGTTCTTCCAGCGCAGCCCGGCATTTGGGAGAAGACAGGCCTGGCTGGTTAAAAGAGCAGTCTCAGGTGGCCCAGGGTTACCCAGGGCCTGCCCTCCCTTACACCACCCTCCAACCTACGGATCTAGTTGGCTGGTCTCCCTCAGCCACCACCTCCCACGTGGGCTCATCTGGCTGGTGCGCCCTCTGGGCTTCCCCTGGTTGCTCAGCACCCGTAGGTTGCTGGCCCTTGACTTGGGTGGGAGGAAGAAAAGGGAGTATTGGTTTGGCAATGAAGTTACTTCTGACTTCATTTTTACAAAGGAAATAGCAAAATTAAAAGCTTCACTGAGAGAACCCAAAACGGGCAGTCCACTTGCCTCCCTCCTTCTCGTGGCCCTACTCTGGTTGGTGACAAGAGTCTGGTCAGTGCCCTCTCAGTAGCCCGAAGTTCCATTCTTGCTTGAAGTAGGTCGTGACCTCATAAAATACTTCATTGCCTGGCTAAAGGACAAATGTTTGCCTAGTTTTTATGAGGTGAGAGCATAAGAGAAAAGTAATAGTATATTGAAAAATTTACCAAATGGATTCAAGTATGTTCTTCAGTGGGACCCAGAAACCCATACCTTTGTTCTTTGGGCGGGGCCGGGGGGGCGGATAAGAAATGTGAGCAGGAACTAATTCACAAATGTTACAAAAGGTGAAAATGCACATTAAAATACATCACATTGGAGAGTTGAATCCCTTAAGTGTACATTAGCAATGCAGATATAACCAATTTTACTTCTGTTTCTAATCCTTGACTGTGATTTTCATAAAACACAGCTGTAAACAGCCACTTCCGAATTCTGGCTTATGAGAAGTTTTTCATTAAACACAATAGCGAGCAACACAAATAAAATGGAATAGACTTCACAAGCCAGCACAGAGCAGAGGGAACTGGTTTTGGGTTTTGTCAGAAAACTTATAGCAGACCAGAGTTCCAGAACATTCTTATGACCAGGTCACCCCCAAGATAAAGATTCATGTTCCAGATCCAAGGCTGGGTGACCACTTAGTGGAAATAAGTACAGAAAAATATGCTTTTGTATTTCCTTTCCAAATAGTTTTTGGAACTGGAGCTATTTTTCTCTCTCAGCAGGAAATATACATAGCTTTTTAGTAAGATGACTTTAATTATGTTTTGTGGAGAAAGGCAGAAATCCTGTGCTAAATTTCATCATGTTGTGTTTCTACTGCTGGTCTGAGGTGTGGCAAATCACAGAGGAAATCATAGAAGTGACCCCAGAGAAAGATGTCAGGGCAGAAAGCCCCTGGAGATAAGGGGAAATACCCCTGTGGACCTGGCATCATCCTGAGGAGTCCCCAGGAAGTGGTCTTCAACCTGTGTGCCTAATCAAGAGTAGCAAAGCCCCTCCTGCTCCCAAAAGGCAGTTTTTAGATCTTAAGTTACAGACAGATTCAGACAGGTGTGAAGTGGAAGAGGAAACGGAAGGAAGGAAGAGACTTGGTTTCCCCTTTGGGGACTCAATCCTGTCTTACTCCCTTGGGCTTGTTAGGTTTATTATGGAGAGGGAGCTCCAAAATGGGTTTGGAGAAATTTTTTCAACTTTATTTACCCTGGCATTTCAAAGTATATCAGAAACAATTAGCAGTGACTTGTTAAGAAAATTCAGAGAATGAGGATTTATTTGGTCTGGGGTGAGCCCCAGCCTGGGTTATTTTTAAAGGCTCCCCAGGGACTCAACCAAAGTTGTACACCACTGATTTAAAGTGAAAAATGAGGCACCAATGAGGAGGGCATTGATCCCCTCCACCACCACTCTCCATGTTGACTCCCCCACCCCCTACCCTACTCCGTTTTATTCTCCCCCAAGAAGAGAGTCAAGTTTTCCTACCCAGTATTCTAGTTCAGGATGTACAGAAATGTCATTTTATTTAACATTGCCCTCAGAAAACTGAATTCTCTCTGGAAGTTCAAAACCCAGCATTGGGACTTAAGTGGGCTGACCATACATCTGGTGTACCCAGGTTGGCCCAGGTGTATGCCTGAAGAGCACAATCCCTTGCTCCCTCAGGGGTCTCCTGGTTAGGGTACTAGACACACTCCGTTGCCATGCGAAATGTAGCTGTTTTGCAGCTGGCCTCAGCTATAGAAGACTACTGCAGAAGAATGGGGAAATTAATACTTTTTTTCCTAAGCTTCATGATAAGGCTAGCCTATTCTGACAAGTTCCTCAGAGACTCCATGCCTAACTACGGGATTTTCAGTCTTTATTTAGACATCGTTGGTGATGTTGTTGCCTTAATGCTCGCCCATGTGTATCGGTCTCCCTTGTTACAGGACTTAGGAAAATTCCACAGTTGTCACATCTTTATGACATCTGTATCGTGGCCTCATTGTCATTGTCACTTTCTCAACAGACAGTTTTGAAAATATCCTCTGGCGTCACTCTTCTGGCAGTTAGCGGGGAGTGAGGAGGGATGATTGATCGTCATAAAGCCCGTGCTTTGCTGAGCCAGACCCAGGGGCTGCGACAGTGATGCTGAGAAGTGTTTTGAGAGGTCATGCATTTCATGGGAGTGTTCTCCAGCTTAGGGCTGTTCATCTAACAAATCACATCCTGAGCACAGTTTCTACGTTCAGTCACAGCACCATCTGGGTAACAAGTTCTATACACTGAATATCCACTCTTTGAAGGTTGCATCCTTTATTTCTAGTAAAATCAATCTTTAAAAATTCAAAGGAGTGACTCTTCAGGGCCGCATCAGGAGACTGGAAACCAAGCCCTGTTTACCTGCCCAGATTGCATGCCTCCACACCTGTCCCCTCTCCCCATCCCCCCGCACTTCTCATTTCATACTCACCCCTCATGAGGAGTTTTCTGCCTTCACTGGAGCCCTACTCTGGACCTTGGTCCTCCCTACTGTGGTGTGCCACAGACAGAAGCCCCAGGACTGTGTGGAGAGGAAGAGCCAGGTTTTCTGTTTTATTTCCAAGAGCCACACCCATGATGTGGTTTCGTGGTGTTAGCTGTGGCAGGACGTGTGTCCGTGTCTTCAGGGGTCAGCTGCACCCAACCCCAGAGCCTCCCATGCTGCTTTACCCCTGAGTGTGGAAAGACTGTTTCTCTGTAGCTGACAGCTTAGCTCCCTGTGCTGGGATGTGAGCTTGGCATTTGTTGGGCATGTCAGTCTCGTAACATTGATTAAAAAAAACTCCCTGCATTGTCTATAGCTGTTGGGACTTTATCCTACCTCATTCATAAAAATGGTAGAACCAGTCCTGGTTACATCTTAGAATGGACAGGAGGACCCTGTTACTCTTTTTCTATTTTAAGAAATAATCTCTTATCCCTGCCTTTCGTTTCCTATTTTTAAATTGCATTCCTCTTGAAAGAACACCTTTCTACTCAACAATCCTGCTTCAAAAGCCTTTAGACTTACAGAAAATCTAAATCAGTGACCCTAATTGCATAAGAGATTATTTAATGTTTATGACCCGTGTGCCCTTTTCCAGACCAAGGAGATCAGAATCTCAGAGGATAGAACCCAGGTGTCACTGATGTTTAGAAGTACCACTGAAGATTCTCTGTGTACCCACCATTGTAAAGCACTGGTGTAAAAAAACTACATTTTCTGGTTTTCCTTCAGAAAGTGTCTGTAGATTGATCAGGCCTGTTTCCTCCTCAGATACATGATGTTGAATTTCTCCCAGCTAGTGCTAGTGACTTAATGTTTACCCATCAGTCATGGAGGCAGCCATGGAAAAGGAGAATCTCCTGTACTTTCTCCAGAATATCCCTTTGCGTTAGTCCTGGAGACCAGTCTGTTAGCTTCGGAAGGGAGTTCGGCATGTGGAAATCACCATGATAGTCTTCATTAAAAACAGAAACCAAGATGTTCTCTACATTCTTTTTTGGAAGATCATTAGTACCCCTGAAAGTGTACTCATTTTCTGGGATTCTATATGCCTGGAGGTCTAGACTCTAATGAACACTCATGAGATATTTTCAGTCATTCACAAAGCCCCATGCAATGTGCCATGTGCCCGGCAAGCAGCTCTGTGGGCTACACTGAGTATCGGGTCTCTACACTGGCCTCTGGAACTACCACTCTCCAGGGTGGGGACGCTGATCTGACCTGAAATTCCTGTTTGTATAGGTGCATTTGATCAGTAAAGGTGGTAAATGCGTTAGGCGTGAAAAATATACATCGATAGACCACATATTTTTAAAATGTCAGTGGAGTAAAAACAATAAAAAGGAATCACTCTTGGTGAAATAAGTAAGAACTCATTTTTAGAAAGCAGTATGTTCCAGGCATTGTCGTGAGGACTTTACATGTATTAATCCCAGTAATATTATTCTGATTGTTTTGGCAAATACCTCTGTACTGCCTGCCGTGAGCCAGGCATTAGTCTCACTGCTTTACATCCATTGTCTCATTTATTCTCACAGCAAACCTTGTGAGATATGTGCCAGAGAGGAAACTGAGGCACAGAGAGGGCCAGTGACTTGCCAAAATCACACAGCCACGAATGGTCAGATCCCAGCTGAAGCTCCCTTTCAGGGCTCCCGAGTCTGTCCATGTGATCCTTGGATTCCATTTTGTTTCTACTGCTGTTTGATAAAAGGTCATCAGCCAAAGCTCTGTCCTCCACCTCAGCTAGTCTCAAGAACTGTCAGGGAGGAAAGGATTGCTGGAAGGAGGCTCCTGGGGGCCCAGGCTCTGGGCACAGCATGCTAGACTAGGGCTTGGTGGAAAGTGAAAACAAGAACAGCAGACTCTGGGGTAAGATAGTTGCCCCAACAACAGAGTGGTAAGGAGGCAGGGTGGGGAAACCACTGTGGAGCTGTATCTGAACATGCCACTTCTCCAAATATGTCCCAAAGTGTTCAGGGGAAAGGGGAAACTTCTTTAATGGGTTGGGGTACCCTGGGAAGAAGCCAGGCTCAGTTTTGCTTCCAGAAAGCCTGGTTAACCCAAACTCTTGAGCAGAACCAGGCAGCAATGCTTAGCATCTAGGAGAGTACCACCTTTGAAACCCCAGCTATCAGGGATCCTCCAGCATGCCAATAGTTGCCTTTCCAGAAATACTGTCTCTAGGGAAATGTTTCAGCCTTGGATGCCATATAGGGCTTTTGTTTGTTTTTGTTTCTGATTCAGCCAAGAAGATTACAAGGTGGGGGGGGGGCAGTGTAGGTGGCCAAACTGGTAAGAAAAGAGGTTACCCTCCATGGAAAGGGATTCTGTCAAGGCGAGCAGAGAACTCTCAGAAGGGTCAGGAAGGAGGTCCCTAAAACAATTCAACTCCGTTTTTCCAAACTATGCAAGAAGACTGGAGGTCTAGCTTCCAGGAAGGCAGCAGTGAGCCCTTCCAGGAAGAAGCTTCAAATAGGCAGCACCCAAGGCCACAAGGGTTAGAGGATTTCTGGGAAGCATAGAGGAGGTCATCAATTTAAGTGGTTATTGCTAGCTGCTAAGGCTTGGGGGAGAGCCGTGACCATTCCCTGCAGCCCCAGATTCACCTAGTTGTCAGCTTCCTGGATTGGGGTCTGCTCTCTGGAACCAATCTGCTCTAAGACGCAGGGCCCTGCAAATAGGTACTCTGTCATAGGGCCATGTGAAGGACATCATGAAGGTCACACTTGCTACTCTGGGGCTTTGACCACAGAAAGACAATTGAAATGGATCATACTCGATGACTGCTGATCCTGAGACATGGACATGTGCTCCCGGGCACAGAGAACTTTGGCTCACCCTTGAAGGTGCTTCTCTAGGTTATTGTGGGAGGGAAGGAGAGAGTCGGACATCCCCACATGACCCCTCCTTTGTCTCGGGCAAAACAGACCCTGGGGCACTTGCGTGCTCAGCAGCATCCAGTGGAGTTTGTTTTAATTATGAAGAACAGCATTTAAAACACCTCTTGGATAAAATCCAGAGATTGAAAAGTTCAGTTTCAGATATTTAATTCTTCCTCTTTCCTTCACCAAGTGGGTTGAAGTGCTCTGAAAACGCATGGAGTCATCTTTGGGGACAGCTCTCCCTGTCATTTCAGGATGCTCAGTGGCTTGCTGCTCCCTGACTCATAGGGGAGTGTGTGGGCGTGTCCACTGGTGTAAATTGAGTTCTGTTGGGAATGGGGACAAGGAAGTGTCAGGCTCAGAGCCATCCCATAGGTGTCTGCAGGTTGTTTGCTGTAAGTGAATGCTGACCGGGGGCGGGGGTGGGGGGGACTGAATTCTGAGGGTGCTTCTCTCTCAAGCTGTTTGCCATGGGGCTGTGTCTCTCCAGAGGGGGCATCTTTTTCTCATTTGCACGAAGGCTGGTTGGGCTGAGTCTGCCCAGGCATCTTTCCAGGCTCTTGGAGTGAGAGGGGCTATATAGATGAGGAGCTAAGGGCTAATGATTCCCAGGGAATCCCTGTCTTCCAGGAAATGCCTCCTGTCTTGGAGCCTGGCTGTGGGTATTGCCTCTCCTGCCTTGCCTGCTACCCTCCTCGAGTGGCACCATTCCTTGTGTTCACGGGATGTCTACCGTAGGGTCTCCAGGCCTCATGTCCTGGCATCCCTCTTCGTTGCCTCTACCCAGCCTTTTGCCAAACCTTTGCTCGTTCCTTCTTCTCTTTCCACACACACAAAAATACCTTAGATTTGAAAGCTGAATTTCAGGGGCTCCCAGTAAGCTTCCTTGACTAAGTACGTAGAAGATCCGTTTGCCCTGCAGAGTAGGGATGCTTCTACACATGTCCCTGGGCCTTCCAAACTGATCACACCCACAAGAATTGTTCCTCCTGGCCACCAGACCCCAGAACAGCTGCGATGCTTTCAGTTCTTTTCTTCGTGAGGAAATTTTAATTTATTCCCAAATGCATATTTAAGGATTTAAAATAGAATTTTAGCAATTGAGTTTGGACGGGCTTAGGAGGACGTAAGGAACCACAGCCCGTTTTTCCTTGCCAGCTTCCGGCCTCCAGGGTTACAGCAAGCCAGCTTCTCTAGAGGGCCCAGCCGCTCGCAGGCCCGGCCAGTCGGGAGGGCCTCCGCACAGCAGACCGACCGACAGCCGCCTGTGTGCCGCGGAACTGGAGCGGCTTTTCCTGACGTCCCCTGCCGGCGGCCCCCAAGCCTCCAGCGTCGTCCCTGGCCGTTCCCAGCAAGCTAGACAAAGCCTCTTCTCTCCTTCACTCCCTGGTTCCAGGCTCCATCCTAGACATTGTTTAGGGCCCGGCTCCAGTGTCAGCTCCTCCGGACCCTGACCCCCTGCACCCCCCAGGTGAGGTAGTTAGCCCGCCGCTGAGCCCTTTCCCATGGGGAGCACACCCACCGTCATGCTGAACAGGTCTTTTCCTTCAGGAGATCCATTGTGCCTTATTCATCATTGTCATCCTGGGCTTGCTACATATGTGAACACAGTCATCCTCCCAGCTCTGTTTTGTCTCAAGAGAAACCTGAGCACGAACAGGGTGCTTGCTGAGTCGGATCTCTTCCACTTTTTCCCACCATTAACTTTTGGAGAGCTGAAGGGGAGAGTGGAGGGCATTGTCATCTCGGCCCTGGCATTGGTTGGCTTTACCCCCTCACAGACGTGTTAGGCTCTGGTCACGTGCTAGCCCAGGGCCTGCCTCCCAAGGAGCACCCAGGTCAGCAGGGAAGCCATACACACAAGGGCTCTGTGAGGACACCTGTCCCCCTCTTTGTCCCCTGTACCCATTCATCCCTCACTGGTCTTGAGCAGATTCCCTTTGGTTTCCCTTCCTCGGAAGGTCCCTCTTCACCTACCCAGTGGGCAGCCGCCCAGGTGTCTAAGTGTGACAGGTGCTCTGTTGTTAGGGACAGAGGATGTTGAAATGGTGAGAGGAGCCTTGAGACGATGCAGCCGGGGATGCAGAGGAGCTGGCTGGCCAACAATGGTGGATTCTCCTCATCACTCTTGTCTTCTCAGCGTGTATACGGATGGTCTCCATCTCTGGGCTCATCCCATGTGTGCTAGGGCCAACCAAGGCACATTCCGACACCTTGCAGCCTGCAGGAAGGGAGTTCTGAGAGGTTTTAGTTTTGTTTCCACTGCTTCTATGGAAAAAAACAGGTTTTGTTTTTTTTTCTTGCCAAATACCACGTTTTTCCCAATTGAAGGAAAATCAATTTTATTTTGTAATGTGTCTGACTCGCGAAGTTCCATTGCTGACCCATGCTTGGCGGCTTCTCAGAGCTAATCCTTGATCTCTTTTTTCTGTGCTGAGCAGTAGCCAGTCCTTCCCTGACCTGAATCGGGGCCATTTGTTTTCATCTCTAAATAAGTAGTGAGTTTGCTTTTAAATAATGAAACACAGAAAAGACCAAAGATGATGCATTAATCTTGGATTCTCCTTATTTTAATACCAAGAAAACTGCTGCAGATGGAAAAAGGCAGGAGGTCATCGTCCTGGACCCCAAGAGGAGCAATGCCATTAATATTGGTCTGACAGTGCTGCCCCCTCCGAGAACGATTAAGATAGCCATTTTGAATTTTGATGAATATGCCTTAAACAAAGAAGGAATTGAGGTAAGAGAAGCTCTATCAAGCATTATTTGTATTCTGTTAACGTGTCCCATATGTAAAGCATTACTGTGTCCGGTATGACTTTCTCCACAGGGGGCTTGCCATTTTTCTGTTTCAGCCAGACTCTGAATAATGTAAATTAATTCTCACATTTTTTTTTTTTTTAAAGTTCTGGGTCATGGGGGGAAGCCCCACTTGGCCTGTGAAGTTCAGTGAGCCTCACTCTCTGGTTCCTTTACTGTCTGCCTTCTGACCACGCTCACCTACCTCAGCGTGGAAGAAGACGAGGATAACCTCCTGAGGGGGCTGGTGGGGTCTTCTTTCACGTCATTTCCCACCGAACATGCTGGACGAACCATCTCGCGAGTAGGGCTTCCCGCGTGTGCTCACATCCCTGTGAATGACCTTCGGATGTGTAGAGCTAGCCTGTGGGTGATAAGCTGGAGAACCCATGCCACACGCTGTTAGCAGCTGTTGATCTGAATGGTGGCAGTGAAGAGGGAGGAGTCACTGGCTGGGTCTGTAGGGCCTGCTGGGCTCAGTGCTCTTCCACCAGGCCCTGTTCTGCATCCACCGTGGGCTGCTGCCTCTCTCTGGCGAGTTAAAGCTCCTCTTCTAGCAACAAAGAAAGAGTGAGTGGGGCAAGCGGCCCAGCATGGAGATTCCTCCGGAAGGGCGATATAGCTTGGGGCTCGCTGGGGCACCGTGGGGATGTGAGGACGCAGCTTTGTGGTGTTGGGTGACACTCCATCCTCCTATTGGCAAGGAGCCAGGGATCCCTTTAAAGCCTTCCCATAGTTGGGGTTCATTCATGCGCAGGGTTATCTGAGATAACCCTAGGAGAGTGGACAGGACCAGTGAAGACTGGCTGCAGACGGAGAATGAGCCCCTGACAGAGAGGAAGGGCCCAGGACCATGGCGCAAGGCTCATCCATGGCCCCAAGTGTGGGAAGGAGCAGTGGGGCCCATGGGGCCAAGTGGGTCTGAACCCAGCAGGGTGGGCATGCCTCTGTGCTTTGGAAAGAGGAGTCCCCCACAGGAGAAACTGTGCTCCTAGAAGTTTATACCGGATTACTAGTGTCCCTTCAAAATCCATGTCTACCCACAATCTCAGAATATGACCTTATTTGGAAATAGGGTCTTGGCAGAGGCAATCAAGATAATGTCATATTCAATTAGGGTTGGCCCTACTCCAGGAATTAATGTCCTTAAGAGAAGAGGGAAGTTTGGACAGAGACACAGAGAGGGGAATGCCATCCTGTGAAGACAGAGAACACAGGGACACACATGGAACAGACTGCCATGTGATGACTGAGGCAGAGATTGGAGTGATGCGTTTAGAAGCCAAGGGACACCAAGGATCGCCTGCAACTACCAGAAGCTAGGAAGAGGTGAGGGAGGTTCCTCCCTAAAGCCTTCAGAGAGAACACCACCCTGCTGACAGCTTGATATCAGACTTGTAGTCTCTCAAACTGAGAGAATTCTGTTGTTTCAACCACCCAGTTCTGTAGTCCTTTGGCAACCCTAGGAAACCAACGCAAGGCCTGAGCAGCTCAACTCTGAGAAACACACACACACCCTGTCCCAGGAGCCCGGTACAAGGTGGAGCATGCATCTGCTTTCTGCTTGGAGAGGAAACAGCGCCGAGCTCTGGAGTCAGGCCAGGCAGCAGAGCAGGTGAATATATCTAGGTGAGCAGCCAAGGAGTGAGAGGACATGGCAGACTGAGGCAGGGGTATAAAGGAGAGAGCCGGTGACAGCAGGCAAATAGAGGAACACTGAGGCAGCTGCTGGACAGTGAGGAGGCGGCAGGCCGGGCCTCAGTGTGAGGCAGTCCCTCTCTGGGGCCCCCAGAGAAGCGAGGGAAGAGCAGAGCGTTGGCTGGCCACTAGGCAGGTGGGAGCTGCCGACCTGGAAGAATCCAGCGCAACGCGTCTTTCATCTAGGGCAAACTACATGGTAGGCCCTAGCACACATTCCAGCCGTCCTATTGACTTAGCAGCGTCCTTGGGAGATTGCAAAAGCTTCAGATTCATGCAAAGAGAGGCTTCAAATGCAGCCAGAGCCAGCCTGATGGAAGGGAAGAATGACATCTTCCCCCGTAAAAAATATTTCCCCTTCTTGTCATGAGAACTTGAAAGTCCTTCAGGAAAGATTGATTTCCTTTGGGTTTTGCCTTTGTTCTTTCCTGGAAACGTAGCTCTCCCTGGGCAGGGAAAGTTTCAGATACAATAAGTTACTTCGATTTTAGAAGAAGGCAAATTACTTGTTTTTTTTTTTTCCTGACTGGTTTCCAGCAAGGACCTTTTTGATGCAGGAAGGAGTTATGCTAGCAACAGTAGTGCTGCTGAGGGGTCCGGGAGCAACAAGGCAGCACCAAACATGGCTTCCGTAGCTTGCTTCTGTGGCCAGGCGCAAGCCACGCGCTCTACACAGATGCTCGTGAGGTACTACTGTTGTGTTCCCCATCTTGAAGATGAGGGAGTCCCAGTGTCAGTCAGGGCCCGGGCTCATGTGACAAAAAGAACAAGAGGGAATCTGAAAGGTTAGGGAGAAGCCTCCTGAGGCCGGCAGTCTGCCTCACAGCGCCACCTACAGCTTGTCCCCGGGCGGAAGTAGCTGATGGGCGGAATGGTTCCGGCGGGAGGACGCAGCCATAGAACCACCATCGAACCCGTCCTGAGCGCTGTCAGGGCACCCCCACTCACAACAGCGTAGGGGATGGCACATTTTTTATCACCGTGTTTATCTCAACAGGGTTTCTCAACTGTGTCACTACCGACATTCTGGATTGGGTGTTTCTTTGTTGCGGGAGCTGTTCTCTGCGTTGTAGGGTGGTTAGCAGCGTCCCTGGCCTCCACCCAAAGAGGCCAGTGGTACCGCCCCAGTGGAGACAACCAAATATGTTTCCAGCTTTGTCAGATGTGCCCTGGGGGCAAAATCCCCCTGAGAATACCTGATCAGAAGGCTGCCCATGTGAATCCAGGGACCGTGTATATTTTTCTTTTTTTTTCTTTTAAGATTTTGTTTATTTGAAAGAGAGAACACAAGTAGGGGGGGAGGGGAGGGGGGCAGAGGGAGAAGCAGACGCCCGGCTGAGTATGGAGTCCAACCAACCGGGTCTCAATCCCAGGACCCTGAGATCATGACCTGAGCCGAAGGCAGACGCTTAACCGACTGAGCCACCCAGGCGCCCCAGGGACCATGTATATTTTTCAGTTCTGGTTAGTCATGCTGAGAAGAGTCCAGTGGAAACCGGACACGCTCATTTGTCACCTGCCATCTCTGGCCATTGATCTCCCGGACCTGAGGGGGCATAGCTGCTCTAGATCCTTGTTGTTCAGGAGCTAAGTCAGGACTGAGAAGAGATGGAAGGTGTATCCTTACAGATCTTTACTAATAAGATTTCCAGCTAATGCCTGAAGGGCCTTTTGCCAAATAGACCATCTGCTTCTTGGGTGTAGGCACTGTAGCATGGTACCACGGCTTAATAGGGCCATTTGAAACCTCTGTGTACCAAATGTGATTAGGATGGATTAAATTGCATCCTGTGGCTTTGCCTAGCAACTCAGTGATATGTATCCAGCTTTGTCAAGAAAACCTGAGAGAGTGGTTAACAACTTCATTAAGGAAGTAACCTTTCATAAGAGTATTAAACTTTAGAGCACATTTTGGGGCCATCTCTAAGTAGTATTCATGATATTTTCCCAAATAAAAGACGCCATCAGCTTATCATAAATGAAGTATGAAGGGTTTTCCTCTTTTCTCTAGCTTTTCTAATTTTTATCATCTGTATCTACAGAGAATAGCACAATTGGATGGTCCCAAATGACACTTACCTTGGCTCATGTTGGCTGCCAGGCCTGCTAAGCATCCTAGAAACGGAAAGTCCCTTTGGCCAAGTATACAAAACTGTAGCACATTTTTAGGCCTTTTGTGCGGTGCAACCCCCGTCCGAGTGGGTGCTGGACACACAGATGAGCCTGGGCCTGGGAGCCACAATCACTCAGCCGGGCCAGAGAACCAGAATGTCCCTGCAGCTGGGCACCTTAGACACGCCGGTGGTTTTGCCTTTCTGGCTGAATGGCCTTAAATTGTGGCAGTGGTGCTGGGAAAGTAGGAGCAGGCCCCTTGGTGGTTCTTCAGCTCTGCCTTGATTGAGCCAGCCTACCTTCAGGCAAACCATGTCACCTGCAAATTTGATGCAACAATTTCTGCCCCACGTGCCTCACTGAGGAGTCACAAAAATGAAAGAAAATACGATCAAGATACCTTGAGAAGTAGTGGGGAAAAAATCCCTGCGTAAGAATAAGTGCATGAATAGAGAGCCATTGACTCACGAGGTTATGCAAGTTGTACACAAACCAGCCTCAGCTCTGAGTGCTCCAGCTTCCTGCTATTGTCACCAAAACCCCTGAGCTAGATTCTCACCCAGAGCTCTAGCCAGGTTCTGCTCAAAACTCATGGGGCAGAATAATTACTCGTGATAGTCTTATCTGCAGGTGAATGAGATGGCCAAACCCAAAAGCATCTGGGCTCACAAAAAATGAGACCTCTCCATTGTTCTCTGAACTACGGTTTTCAGATAACCAAGCAAGTAGACTGAAAGCAATGCTGGTGGGACACCGTCTGGAAGAAAGCAAAAAAGGAAAACAAACACAGAGATTATTACATAGTGGTTTTGTTTGGTATCTTTTTCCCCGTGAAACCAAATGGTGACCATAAAACCATCCGTAAATTCACAGACATGGTGGGAGAGCAAATTAAAGGCACCTCTTCCCACTCATCCCTTATCATCTGCTCCTGGAAAGAGAGGGCCATCAGCTCATTGAAGGTGGCTTCAACACGCCATTCCCCCATCTTAACGGCTATTTTTATTGCCAGGGATGTGTAAAAAAATAAAGTGAAATAAACTGGCAGATGGCAACCTCATAAATCTTCAGTGGTGAACAAATGGTTTAAATTAGTCAGAGAAGTAAAAAACAAAAGGTGTTTGATTACTT